GATTTGGAAGAATCTCACATCTGAGCTCTCTTCCTTTTCAAATCTAGTCTTTCGTACCTTTTTATTTTAGCAGACAAAAGAAGCCAGGAAATGGTTATTATGAGAGGAAGGGAGGGGGAGAGACCTGTGACCCTAAAAAAAACCCCACAAAAAACTCCTACTGCAAAATATTGAATATCAAGAGCAGGCACGCACTCCAGACTAGCAGAATCAAGAAATTAATGAAAACACCCAGACTGCATCCTCAGAACCACTGAGGAATGATAATTACAGACAGTATTTCTGGAGCAATACATAACCTTGATTCCCAGGACACCCCCTAAAGCAGTCTAATAGTATGCTATTTGTGGAAGGTTTTTCCACCTTTAATAACAGAGAAATAATGTTAGAAGGAAAGAAATCCCTTATTTAGCCACTGGGGTACCATTACTAAGCCCCAGCTGAAGGCCCCCTTAAAAGCATCCATATGGTAAAAGAACATGTTTCCCAACGAAATCAAAACTGAGTACATCTGAGACTTCTGAACATCTTTTTCCTTGGATCTTAAAATGGATTTGTGCATATTTGTGAAAAAAAATTTTATGATGTGCTATCTTCCAAAGTGAATGGTTATTTATAATTCATAAAAGACCTGAGCACAGGAAAATTCTTCCCTTTTATTAGCCCTGTAAAGTTAGACCAGCTGATCTTTTAGTGCATATTACAGACATCAAATTCTCCGTCTGGTTGAAGTTTCTCTCTTCGCACTAAATGCAAAGAGGCAGGGCTACTGAAGCTGTTGTTCAAAAGCTGGCAGGGTCCAAATCTCTTTTGATTAAATGTTAAGTAAACAAAAAATCACCCTCAGAGCTAGTCTCTAAAGACACAAAAGGGAAAATACTTGGAATGCTAAACATGCTTTTTAAATCTTGCACAGCCTTTATAAAATACAACGGCATACTTTTTTAATGGATTTTCTTTTCTATTTTCAACATTTAGCCATCATCTTTGGACACAGTTGCCACATCATTTCCTCTCAGCTGCTGCTGGCTGCCTGTGAGTCATAGTACAGGTCCATGAGCAGAAGTGACTTGAGCAGGAGAGCACGGGCACCAGGGATTTGGACCCATTACAGGGAGCCCTGCTGCCAAGGGCTCCCACCCAACTGCACCTGCACATCCCCATCATGATATCATAGAAAGTTATTTCCTTAGAAGAATCCAGCTTTCTTAGCTCACCCAGCCAGGACCACGTCCACCTCAATTACTAGCATGCCATGGACCCACATAAGAGGGTTTCACAGAATTCTTAGAGATCTACGTTCATTCTGATAATAACACATGGTTTTGCTTTCTTTGAAGTTCCCTGCCCTCTAATATTCCAGATGAGCCTTTTGAGCTCCATGATAGAATTATCTGGAGATAGAAACTCTTTCTGTATTCTGACTTTTAAGTACCTTGACTTTAAATTTAGATTTCTAACTGCCAAATACAAAAAGCCAACTCACTTATAGGACAGGATCCTTGGCCAGAAAGGATCACCTTGGCTTGAAGGGACAGGGGTAAATGATACAAATGCTTTTTGAGGAAGTTTTTCACCATCTCGTGCTGCCTGACTCAGAAGATAAGAATGAGGAGATCTCAGCCTTTCGAGGATACGTCAGCTTGCACTATGTAGAACCAGCGGTGGGAATGGAAAAGGCAATATTTATTCTGAGGGCCCTGACAACATCATCATTAATTCATTTGTCCACTCCTCAGTGGTTTGCATTTTACAAGATCCAGAATGAGAGAGGCCCATGAGCTATAATTCTAGTCCTCCTTTCCCCCTTCTACCCTCACGCTCATTCAGCATTAAGCACTGCTCAAAAAAAGCTAGAAAGATGACAAAACTAAATATGCAATCATACTAGTTTTAACTTAACACTTCCAGAATTTATTTGCCTATCACATAAATGAAATCTTTCTCCAGCCTTTCCTTGCCATCACCCACCCCCGCAAAACATCATTACATAACCCAATGTTAATTAATTATCTCCTGTGTCCTGTGCCTCTCACCTGCCCTCCATTCATCCACCCATGCTACAAATATTCCTGGAGTACTCACCACCCTCCAGGCCCTATTGTGGACATGAGAGGCAAATAATTTCTAATCCTTGCTTTTAGGGAGCTTACAGTCATATAGAAGATGGTCTCGTCTGTGTCTCCTCTGCCTTCATTGACTTTCATTAACTTTCTGCTGCTACTCCATCAGGACAAGAAAACAGGAGATCTTACTTTGCTCAGACAATGCCCCTAGGTTCACGAAATTTGCCTACCCGGTTTTCTTTGCTTGCGACCCACCGGGTCTGTGGAAACCTGATATGCAGTCGTCATGAAAAAAAGTAAAGTTTACTGCAGTGGGAGCAAATGTCAGGACATATTTTGGACAGGGCACACAATAGTGCCAAATACTCACTCTACACCGAGTACAGTGTATTTGGTTTTCTCTCCCCTTTCTAGGCTACTCACCTCTCCTCCAGAACTAGGCCTTTGGGGTTGCAGTTCATTTGGCCAATCACCCCTTTGCGTCCTTCAGTCCCATTATCTCTCTCGTCTCCAGAGATGAGCCATGGGATCCTTTCTCTGTGGAGGCCCTAAAAGTGTAGCTTCCTTATCCAACATCCACTGAGCTGTGTTCTTTGACATAGTGTTATACGTTTTTGGGAATGGGTGTGTAACTGAGTCAGAAAGAAACCTCACTGAAGGAGAGGATGCCAAGAAGGTACCCAAGGCTTCCCCTTCTGCTACAATCAGCAAAACCTCTAACACTAGGGTTTGTTTATCACGTTTCACAAACAGACCAGAAAAACTCCCTTGGCTAGTACTCCTTGAAGAAGTTTCCAAGCTTTCACCCCCCTGGGTAAGGCTGGAGGTCCCCACCTGCTGTCTGCATCTCACGGAGGCTGGGTTCCAGGTATGCAAATATGTTACTGGTGAGTCAAGCCCTGGCTCCTCTCAGCCCCAGAGGTTGGAGAACAGAGCCTGAGGCAGCTGGGGCAGCCACTTGAGAAAGATAACTCAGTGTTGCTCACGGCTGGGCTGATAAGAGTCTTCCGGGGAGGTGACTAAAGACAGCGCCCCCTGTTTGCCTAGAGACCAAAAATTCTGGTCTGCTCCTCAGCCCCGCGTGCTGGTACTTGGTGCAGAGGCCTGTCCCAGTCCTCGAGTTTTACCCTTATCCTCAAAACCCCCAACCTTCCAAGTCAGGTTCTCCCTCACCCCTCATTCCTGCTCACCCTGCACCAAAGGTGAACCTTTCTGTCAGGTCCTCTGCCCTGTGTTTATGACTTTCACTTTGGGCAGCACTAGCCCTAGATTTCCATAGCCGCTTCACCCTTGGTTGCTTAGCCCACAGGCTTCAACAGAATATACTGCCATCCACTTAAGTAATTTTAAATTTTCTGGCAGCTCATTGTTAAAAGTTTAAAATAAACAGGTAAAATTAGCTCTTTTGCCTCCAAAATTTTTAAATTATTTTAAATGGCTTTATTGAAATATAATTCACATACCATATGATTAACCCATTTCAAAATGTACAACTGAGGGGTGCCTGACTGGCTCAGTTGGTGGAGCATGTGACTCTTGATCTCAGGGACGTGAGTTCAAGCCCCACGTTGGGTGTAGAGCTTACTTTTAAAAAATTAAAAATTAAAAATTAAAAAAATAAAATAAAATAAAATAGAGTGTACAACTAAACAAAAATTTAAAGATAAAAATAAATAAGTAAAAAAGAAATAAAATATACAACTGAATATATTCACTGAGCTGTGCAACATTGCCAAAATCAATTTTAGAACATTTTCGTCACTTCGTGAAAAAAAAAAACAAACAAACATACCCATTAGCACTCACTTCCCATTTCCCTCCAAACCACTCCCCTCCCCCCAGCCCTAAGCAACCACTCCTGTACCTTTTGTCTATGGATTTGCCTATTGGCCACTTCATACAAGTGCGATCACAAAATGTGTGGGTTTTTTGCATCTGGCTTCTTTCATTTAGCATGTTTTCAAGGTTCATCCCTGTTGAAGCATTCACTGTAATAATATATTTTGTTTAACTGAATCTATCCGAAATATCATTTCAACATGTAGTCAATCTTAAGAGCAATTAATGATGTTTTTGGCATCCTTTTTTTACTATAAACTCTTTTGAACTTTAGTGTGTATTTTACACTTACAGCCATCTCGTCAGACCAGCCACAATGCACCCTCTCAATAGCCTCCTGTAGCTGGTGGCTACGGTATTGAACAGCACAACCCTAGCTAGATACCTCTCTGTTACTCCTTTTGTATTTTTATTTTATTAAAAAAAATTTTTTTAACATTTATTCATTTTTGAGAGACACAGAGAGACAGAGCATGAATGGGGGAAGGGCAGAGAGAGAGGGAGACACAGAATCCAAAGCAGGCTCCAGGCTCTGAGTTGTCAGCACAGAGCCCGACATGGGGCTGGAACTCATGAACCTTGACATCATGACCTGAGCCGAAGTCGAATGCTTAACCAAGTGAGCCATCCAGGCGCTCCTGCATTTTTATTTATTAAGTTTATTTATTTGAGAAAGTTTATTTATTTTGAGAGAGAGAAAGAGAGAGAGAGAGAGAGAGAGAGAGAGAGAGAGAGACAGCATGAGTGGGGGAGGGGCAGAGAGAAAGGGAGACACAGAATCTGAAGCAGGCTCCAGGCTCCGAGCTGTCAGTCCAGATCCTGATACGAAGCTCAAACCCAGAACCTCGAGATCATGACCTGACCAGAAACCAAGAGTTGGACACTTAACCAACTGAGCCACCCAGGTACCCCTGTTACTTTGGAAAAACAGCAGCTCTCTCTGTTCACCACTGCACTCCTGCATGCCCTCTCTACCCCATCAGCACCTACACCACGGCTTACAGGTGGCTTTAGGATTTTAAGGCAAACTCTACATTGTACTGTTAAATTCCCCCTTCGCATCCCTTGTAGAGAGCCCTGAGCTCACGCTCCCACCTGGGCAGTAGACGCTGAAATTAATGCCTCCACACAGGTAACCGGAGCTCACTCTTGCTCGTTCACTTTCCTCACCCAGACGCCATGGTTGGACGATGTATTTTGCTAAGTGAAACTTTCTGCTGAAAAAAAAACAAACAAAACAAAAAAACTTAACAAAATTTAACAAAAGAAACTTTTCTCTTTCTTTTTAAAAACAAGCCTGTCATTTCTTAATTTTCTCCTTGGTACATTTTCCAGCCATTGTTTTGCTAATAATAGCTCTAAGAACACAAATAAAGCTCACTGGTAGTGGTAGATTTGGGGAAATTGCTACAAGCTTCCTGACAGCTTTATCCTGCTCCTGTCAGCCATTTCCCCCAAGAAAATGGACATTTAATCAGTGTGAGGCTGCATCTTATTAGCCTGGCTCATCAGCTTTCACCTCCTTCCAGGCTCCAGAGAGAAGGCAGAAACCTGCAGCGCTGCCCCCCACTGCCCAGGATGCAGGGATTTCAACAGGAAGCGGCACCTTCATGAATTAAGTACATTATTCATTTCAGTGTGGCTACGTCTTTATGGTAACCTGTAAGTTATTTCTAAACATTTGTGATTCTGAAGATTGGCACATGGAAATGTTTGAAATTACCTTTTTGAAAGAAAAGCTTACAAAATTGGGGTTATGTAGCCCACAAAATGGAAGATTGAGGGCAGATTTTAATATGTACGAATTTAATTGGGGCCTAAGAATAGCAGTATCAGCATCTTATTTCTCCTTGGAACAGGAGAGAGAAATGAGCTAAGGATGCTGGAGGAGAGATTTAGGGTTGACTTCAGGAAGAACTCCTGTTGAGAACATTGAAGAGCTGGACAATCTCGCAAGAGGAGCTTCAGAGTTTTGGTTAACCTTCATTCTGCCAACATTTACTGGGCACCTTTTGGGGATTTCCCGGTCGTGTCTAATTCTGTCCCAGAGCTAAATCAGGAAGATTTCACCCAAATGCTTTTCTGGACTCTGGCTTCCCTCACAAAGTAATGCTCTCTCCCCCACTGCCCCCATCCCCATGCCAACACTTTGCCCCCAAGAACTTCTCATCTTAATCTCAGCCACTTAGGAAGGTTCACAGAGCTCACAGTCCTGGAGGACCTCCCCCCCCCCCCGCTCCCCACACACACCTACACAAATACCAAAAACAACAACAAAAAACCCTTTTAAAATAAAGAATTATTCTGAAAGCAGAAAATCAGACCCACTACATTAGTCAAGACTTAGGCCTCTTGATCAAATAGCCACTCATAAGGCAATGGCATTTTGAGAAAAGCAGGCAGAAATGGAGGCCAGCTCAGAGGTTTGGTGACTCCCTGTAAGTTTGTTTATATTGCCTAGCTCTTTTACTCAACTAAAACTTTCTTTGCTGCAGAAAATGGCCTCACCATTGCCATTCTAGGATTCCCTGTATTCGGCCTCACCTAACAACTGATTGACTATCTATCCAGAACAGTTAAAACACCCAGTGCTGCAGGGAATGGCATACAATTTCATCATGGCAGCGATGCCCTGTTCAATGAATTGCATAGAACCAGATCTTCTCGTGTGCACCTGGGTATGAATCACTGACTCGGTGACCTCCGTTTGGAATCTGTTTTCCCATTGGAATCAATTTATCCTTCATGAGATGGAGGCACCTAACCTTTCTTAGGGACGCATGCCTAATTCCACAGAACTCTGGAGTGACTTCAGTTGTTTATATGGCAATCTTGTGTGATCCAAGCATCTCCACTACTGCTGTCATTTTACGGCCATTTGAAACATCGTAAGAGTCCTGTTTTTTATTATTTTTTAAAATTCTCCTCATGCTCATTTCCACATGGAAGGAATTCTTATGAGGTAATAGGGTGGTGGGGAGACAGCCTGCTTTAGCTCCTGCTAGTTATTCCATGTTATGCCCCAGTGGATTATTTGCATCTGGTCTCTACTTGTTAACATCAATGGGCTATGTTTGCATAACTAGATTGAATTATAAAAGGACTTCCATTTTGAATAGTTAACTCTCACCAAACCAAACCAACCAAACAAACAGATAAATAAAATAGAAAGTCTAAGCTAGAGATACCAGCCTGGAGAAACCTGTGCTGGGAAAAAAAAAAAAAAAAAAAAAAAGAATCTCCTAAAGTCTGTCACAAAGCCTTTCTGGTTTCAATTTCCCCTCTCCTTTTGAAATAAGATCCAGTACCCCCAGACCTCCACTCAGAATAAAGTTGCTGGGACTTGGCAGGAAGTGGCATGGCAGACCACCCAAGAATTAGGGGCATCTGACGTGGATGGGAAAAGTTAAACGAAAATCTGAAGATGATGTCAAGTAGATGAGAATGAGTCATCGATGCTCTGGCTCCCATTTCTCTCCAGCCAAGATCCTTGTGCTGAAGCATACAGTTAACCCTCCAGCTAGCAAGGGCTGGCCTAAGTCCCTTTCCAGTTCCTACCTTAGCCTCCAGGCAGTGTACAACTAGCCCTTTCGAAAGACCTCCAACGCTTTCAAGTTCTTGAGAAAGGTTCCTGTTTGCTAAACTCCTCAGGCTGTCTTCTGTCAACACACACCTCTTTTCCTTTTACTCACACACATTTCCTTATCACCGTCTGATGTATTTTGTCCCTTCCAATACACCGTGAGGTTCTAAAAGGCAAACAAGTCTGGTTCCACCTCAGTGCGCCCGGCACCTCCATGCCAATACCTGGGACAGAGCAGTTACTCAATCTGCATCCCTGGGCTTTAATTACTTACTTGTTTTATTATCACCCCGGATCAAAGTTCTCTCTTTTAGATTGCAAGATTCAAGAGGGCAGGACCTCAATTAGTGAAAAGTACAAGTGACTTCCTGCCAGGGTCAGCGTCACTGGTACGTGAATGAAGCAACTACATCTGGGGGGGGGGGTGATTTGAGGGGTTCTAGAAACACCCTTCCACCCCCTCACCTCCTGAAATTTTAATAAATGACACCTTTTCACTTAAGGTTCTGAGTCTTATTAAGATACGAATTCCCCTGGCAGACTAACCTGATAAGTTATCTGTGGTTTACAGTAGATAAAAGAAAGACATTGAGCCTAGGGAAAGGAGACCTTACTCAGAAAGGTAGGGGAAATGTGGCACAGGAAGCTAGGGTGTCAAATGGCCCCATTCACACCAAAATCTCTTCAATAATGTGTGATGGTGGTGTTGACATGAAGAATTATTCTCCTTCCAAAGGCCAGCCCCTCTGACTCCTTATGTAGTGATTAGAATATAAATAAGGATGGGGGACAAAAAGAGCACTTATTATGCCACAGACAGTGCTCAAAACACTTAACCAATAGTAACCCATTGTACCCTCCACCTCTCTGAGCTTGGCCCTATTACCATCTCAGTTTTGCACGTGAGGAAACCGAGGCATAGACAGAAGGTGACAGACCCAGGGAAAGAGTAAGAATTATTGACATTTTTAAATGATTAAGCTCCTTTCTTCATCCTCTTCCCCATTCACTCCCCCCTAACCCATGTCAAAAGACTTACTTTCAATGATTCTAAGGAATCTTCAGTGTGGGGAATAAACAGGCATCTAAGAAAGCAGAAACAGTGTTCCAGGCACATATGAACACTTCTACAGAGAAGCATTTTCAAGAAACGGCAACTGGGGCGCCTGGGTGGCGCAGTCAGCTAAGCGTCCGACTTCAACCAGGTCACGATCTCGCGGTCCGGGAGTTCGAGCCCCACGTCAGGCTCTGGGCTGATGGCTGATGGCTCAGAGCCTGGAGCCTGTTTCTGATTCTGTGTCTCCCTCTCTCTCTCTGCCCCTCCCCCGTTCATGCTCTGTCTCTGTCCCAAAAATAAATAAACGTTGAAGAAACGGCAACCAATGTGCTGTCACTGATGACCTTACAGAATATGTACATGGTGATCCAGCTTTAAAAGTAGCCAGGGATTGGGGCGCCTGGTGGCTCGGTCAGTTAAGAGTCCAACTCTTGGTCTCAGCTCAGGTCATGACCTCACGGTTCATGAGATGGAGCCCTTGTCAGGCTCTGTGCTGACAGTGCAGAGCCTGCTTGGGATTCTCTCTCTCCCTCTCTCTGCCCCTCCCCTGCTTGTACTTGCTCTCTCTCTCTCTCAAAATAAATTAATAAACTTAAAAAAAAAAAAAAGTAGCCAGGGATAAAAAAAAAAGGAAGGAAGGAAGGAAGGAAGGAAGGAAGGAAGGAAGGAAGAAAGAAAGAAAGAAAGAAAGAAAGAAAGAAAGAAAGAAAGAAAAAATAAAAGTAGCCAGGGGTTCCTCTAAATTGCAATATGCCCATTTCGGGTGCTTCCCCCAACACTGTCAATGAAACAGAGATGATAACCATGGCAGTCTTTATATTGCTTGACCCACACAGATGGAGCCTACCTTCCTGAGAGAGGGGATGCCACGTCTGTGTATGTATATACATACATAAGATGTGTGTAAACTTCAAACACACACAAGACTGGCAACAACTTTGCCTTGAGGAGGACGAGTTGAGAAAGTTCACCTTATGCATTGGACTAGAGAAGGTAGACTCCTTATTCATCTTCAGATGAGAAGGGTAAAATAAGCATTGGTTTCCTGGAATTGGACATGATTGCCCAATAATTGGAAAGAGAGTGTATGAAAGAAAAAAGCAGATAAATAGCAGAGTGAGAAGTGGGATGGCATATATTTTCTTAGTGTTTGTAGGGTTTCATCAAATAGAAGGGATGGGATTGGGAATTGGATCGGTTCGAGGACATCCTCACAGTGCTGCTCGTGGGCAACATGACTGGGAGATGACATGGGCGCCCAAGACCCTACCTCCGTCAGACAAGAAGCTTCAGAAACAACCTTGCCCACAAGGAAAGCCAGTGCTTCAGCCAGCTGTGGCCAAGCTGAGTGGTCCCATTTTTAGGAGTAGAGGCCACTGAGTTTCCCTGCACAATGGCACTGTGCAGAGGTTCTGCTGGGTCCTTCCTGAGAATAGATCCTTACCCACCAGCTTCAGAAATCAGCAGCAAACATCTGGGCCAAATGCCTGGGCTTCCACTCTAAGCTCTCCAATCTTCCTCGTGAACCTGAGGTGTTCTTATGTGTCCTGTGACTTTAAAACTTTTTAATGATCTTC